GTTGCAGCTTTGAGAGAAGAATTAATCTTTGCCAATTTACTATTTGCTTTGAAAAGATGGCACAAATTATGACAACACTTTCTTACTATTCTGACACAAACTTAAAGTGTTCTCTTTTAAATCCAGTCAGATAGTTAACTCAAAAGAAACGATCTTATAATAAACAAAATATATTTTAATGAGAAAGATTATTTGTGTTCACGTTGTGATTGGTGCTGCTGGAAATACATCTTTGTTCATCTTTTAGATCATCCCTTTAGGTAAGAAAGTGTTGTTGCTCTTCATACCATCTTTATGCTTATAGTGTGACCTTCCATGGCCCATGCTTCTTACAGACAAAGAGATTCCCATGTGGCTTGTGTCCAGGAAGTCTCCCAATGACCTTTGGAACTCCTCCCACTATCCCATCCACATACCTAGCATTTAACCCAATAACTGCCAGACACTCCAACATAGAACTATATGGTGCATAGAGCTATATGGCCCATAGAGCTTTATGGGCCAGAATAAGGAAGTTTGAGAAAGAGATTTTCCCCTTTGCTATTTTTATTTGATTAATTTAGTTTGTTTGACTATCAGTTATCTAGTGGAGACACTGATTCTCAGACTATTGTGGATCCTGTTAATATTTTAAGGGAAGATATGGCACCTGGATCCTAAAAAGTTATCTTGTATGTACCCGAACCTGCAACCTAAATGTTGGAGATGTGGTTGCTTGGATGCAACCTATTTTCATGTTTGGTGGACTTGTAAAAATATTAAAGCCTTCTGGATTATGATTTGGTGGAACATTCAAAAGGTTTTTAAAAGGAAGATTAAGTTTACTCCCCAGTTGTTTCTTTTGGGTATTTTTGTGGATTTTGATGCTAAAGAAACTATCTTAATGTTGAATTTAATAACAGCAGCAAGATTATTGGTGGGTCAATATTGGAAGAAGGATTCTCTGCCTTCTTTAGAAGAATGGGTATTTAAGGTTTCTAATTTAGCAGAAATGGCTAAAATTTCTGCTTATTTAAAGGACCATTTACAAGAGAAATATTTTAATGTATGGAGAAGATGGATAGAATATGTTCAGAAGAAGTATGGAACTACAAAGTTTCACTTATTTTATGAGTAATGAATTTGTTTATAAACTTATGATGTTAAAGTTTGAAGAAAGTTAAGGGTTAGTATGATTTTGGTTATTGTATAATTAGTAAACTTAAATAGATTATGTTTAATATGTTTGTATAACCCTGTACTTGGCTCTGGGAAGTCAGGGGGGAGGGGGAGGGGGGAGGGGGGTGGGGGGAGGATGGGTTCAAGTTTAAGTAGCTCAGATAAGTAGAAATAGTTTTATTGTATATAATATTGGTGTTTTAATTTGGAGAGAGGAATTGCTCAGGCATTTCCCCTGGACTACATCCGGAGCGAGAAGATAGGAAGAAGGGGAGAAGCAAGTAGGGAGGTTGAGGAGAAGGAGGAGAGGGGGAGAGTGAGGAAGAGGAAGAAGAGGGAAAGAGGGAAGTAGGTTAGAGGGTGGATGCAGTTGGGGGGGAAATGGGTGAGCAATACCGAAGGTTGTATGTATTAATTTGCTTTATTCTTTATCTGAAGTATTTTTATGAATGTAATGTATTGTAAAATTGAAAATAATTTTTTTATATAAAAGAAGATATTTTAAGGGAAGATGGAAACAGTATAAAGAATAAAATATATTTTGATATAAAACTTCTCACAAACTCTTGTAAACCAAATATCCTGAGTTTTGGGGGAAAACTTATCTCTATACTGCAGGTACTTGTGTTTGCAAGCCCTTCAGGTATTTGTGGGTCATTAGCCTGAGACAGGATAGTCAGTTCCTTCAAAAGAGATTAAGACCTCTAGCAACTGATATCTCTAAATTCAGAGATCTTAAGCATTGGATACAATAGATGGTCTTCAGGTAGAATTTTCTAGGGGCTAAAGGCATAACCAGGCATATTGGAAGGCTATGCCCACAGAGCAAAGTCACTTCTCCTAGCTTGTGAGAGAGGAAGTAGCAAATAGAGTTGCCATTGTTTATTAGCTAGTGCAGGCATGGGTAAAGCTTTCATGTTGAGGGTACAGTTGATTTAGAGAGAGGGGAAGACTGAAGGCTCCAAAGCATGGGGACACATCATACATTTGAATGATTCTGCTTCTTGTGGGACATTTGGACACTGTTGCTTTTTTCTTGTGCTTTTACACATGTAGGGTTGACCCCTATCAAAATATCCAGTAGAGGAAGTGACACTGTCAAACCACTCACAAAAAGTATGGCATTATCGTTTGCTAAACATAGTACAGAACATTGGGACAATGATTATATAAGTGCAGACAAAATGTTACCACCGTAATTGCATAAATTCCTATTTCTTCTAAGAAAATGGCATGACTGTTAGTCATTTGAACTAAAATGTGAGAATGAGGGTTTTTTTTTTTTTTTTGGTCTTATATAAGAGAGTTTTAAAATTATTTCCCAACTTAAGAAAGCTTAAGAGCAGTTGATGAGGTCATTATTTCTGCATGTTATGGTTATAATCTAAAATTGAGATTCTGGGGTTCTTCCATTAAAATATGAATTCTTCCAGTGATGTTAATGCAACAGTATGCATACATAGACTTTTCAATATAAGTAAGCTGAAACACACATTTTCCACTAAAATTATAAATCTTATTTCTAAACATTCCTGATAAAATACAATAGGATTCATTTTTTTTTTAAAAAAACCCACATACATATTTTTACCCCACCTCCCTCTGGGCATATACTATCTCTCAGAACCAAAAGAAATAGCTCCAATAAAACTGAATGCCAGTACAGAAACTAATTTCCCCCTTAGCTCAAACGAAGAAATATCTCTAAATAATGAATGAGAATTAACAGGGACTGAAATAACCTTTGCAAATGTGTAAATGGTCTTTCCTAAAGCCAAACCAAGAAATTAATCCAAATACATTCTAGAATATCAACCCAAGGATATCTTTCCTTAAAAATTTTAACCAAGCAATTTCTTTGTGCCCAATGCCCAAATGCGGTATTAGTCTTTTTCTGGCTTACTCATATATATTGTATTATAATTTTTAATGTTTGCTTTATAAATAAAGCAAAAATATAATGCCTCTTCACATTTCAAATTTCAGCAGTCTCTAAGTTGTACCCTCTAACACAAAATGGCATTTGTTAATTAAAGGAACAATAATGACCACTTTATAAGCTAACTGCCAAATGATCTTATATATTTAATGTATGTATCTATATGATCCCCTTCCCTCATGAAATAAAAAAAAATCATTCAAATATGTTAATGAAACCTTTCAACAACTCCACTTTACCTTTTCAAACTATGGCTAAGAATAAAACAGCAATAAAAGCACCATGACAATATCAGGTAGGAAGATAATTAGTTAATTTCAATAATGAATATATTTATTTTGTATAGTTTATATATTTGTATACACTATACAAAATAATAGTAGGCACCCAGTCTTCAGAACAGTTATTTTAAAGTGATTGAATTCTACCAGAAGATTGTGATAAGATGAGCTCTATTTAATATCATGGATTCCTTGTCTTGAAACATACTTTGCAATTATCGTATAATGACAGAATAATTACCACTCGAAGGAAAGGTTATTTTCCAATAATGATTTGGGTGATGAGAGAGGAAGTATGAGAAGATAGAATTTGACAAAGTCTGAAGATCTAATGGAACAATTTTCAAAATGGGAAGGGGAAATGTAGGAGTTCTACTTTTCACATGACAAAAACTCATGGCATTATGCTAGAAATAGATTTGATTTACAACAAAGGCACATGCTTTCACTTGTAACCCTGCTTCCTATTGTTTAATAATAGCCCTAAAATTTTAAAAAATATTGCTTAATATTTTAAAACAGAGTTCCCCAACCTTTCCAGCTTTGCAGACCAGCTGGGAGAAGGAGAAAGGATTAGTTTCACACTAGTGGTTGGCAAGCATGCACACCTGCCACTCGCACAAGTGGAGTGATACATGTGTGTTTGCCCACTGCTTGCCCAAGTGGAGATGCATACATGTGTGTTCCCCCGCCACTTCAACAGCCTGGTTCCAAATGGCTCAAAGCCCAGTAACGGGCTGTGACCCAAGGGTTGGGGACCCCTATTTTAAATCATTATAGGTATCCCCATATTTCTACCTGTCTGATTGTTCAAGTCCCTAATTATTGTTTATTATCACAATAAGTGGTGTACTTATGTTTGCCGCTCAGCAGAACATCCAACCATTTCTTTATCGAATGCCAACTTTTGGGTGGAAGACAAATGCTTGCTTTACTCTCTTTGCAGAACAATGAGTCTTGATGGGATCTTTGTAGTCATATGTTTGAATTAATTAATTAAATGTAATAAGGCTGTCCACTCTAAAACAATTCTAGGTGTTACATAGTTAAAAATACAGGTAGTCTTTGACTTACAATAATTCATTTAGGGACCAAAATTACAATGGCACTGAAACAGTGAGTTATTATTATTTTTTACATGACTGTGGCACCATCCCCATGGTCACATGATCAAAATTCAGATCCTTGGCAATTGGTTCATATTTATGATGGTTGCAATGTCCCAGGGTCAAGTGATCACCTTTTGTGACCTTCTGACCAGCAAAGTCAATGAGGAAGCCAGATTCACTTAGCAAGCATGCTACCAACTTAACAACTGCAATTATTCACTTAGCACATGTGGCAAGAAAGGTTGTAAAATGGGGCAAAACTAATTTAGCAACGGTTTTCCTCAGCAACAGAAATTTTGGGGCTCAGCTGTGATCATAAGTCGAGGACTACCTGTATTGATAAAATAGAGATGGGAGTACAGACAGGAAACTTTAAATATCCAAAAGTAATAATCATTCTGACCAAAAGAAATACAAGCCAAGTGTGCAAGGTTCTTTTAAGCCCAGTCAAGTTGGGGGTTGAATAAATCTGGGTAAGGGGAATGAAAAATGATGTTACCAAAAAGCAATTGCTGTAACAGAGAATGCACCTTCTTTATTAATCCAAATTTGTATTTGCAGATACATATGTAAATATACAGCAAACTATTGATTTACATAGACATCTTTATCAACTGAATTATTTTGAAGAACAAGCGTTCACGAGCATTGAGTCCCCAGATAAAATCCAAGTGGGTCCAGTCTGACCAAGAGCGATGATAAACCAGGTTAACAATATGAGAAATTAAGAGCTTTATATCTTCTGGGTCTGCAATTGGGTCCTGTCCTCCAGACCACACTGCAGTTGGTACCACCATGTCTTTTATTTGATATGAAGGAGGAACGTTCTAGAAAGTAAAATCATAATATTGATAATTGTAATGCAGAGTTGATATTGAGTCACAATCACAGACTTCTGGAAACAGTTACATTTTTCATATGGATCGGATGTTAATTGTCATTTAAATGGTATGATGGGGATGAGAGGAGACAAGAGAAAGAAGATGAGACTGAAAAGGTTATTTTTATTTACTCTTTCATTGTTATTTCCATTGTTTGTCATTGTTATCTTTCATGTCCAATGGAGGAATTCATAGTATCTCCTTCTTAAAAAACTATGTTTTTTTGAACATTGAGCGCTATCTAACAAGATGAAATTTAATGGTGAAAAGTAAGATTCTATATATAGACAAGAAAAACCAAAGGCACAGGTACAGTATCGGTGGTACATCATTCAATAGTAGTAACCAGTGCTTTTTTTCTTTAAAAAAAAAAAAAGGTGCCGGAACTCACACACATCATGCAACCCGCCTTGCCTACCCTACAAGATTCCATCCAAAAAAGGTACCGGAACTCCGTTCTGGGAGTTCTATGAGAAAAAAAGCCCTGGTAGTAACTATGAGAGGAATCTTAGAGTCCTAGTAGATAATCAGTTAAATATGAGCCAGCAGCATGCTGCCAAAAAAGCAACAAAGTTCTAGGCTGCATTAACAGAGGGATAGAATCAAGATCACATGAAGTATTAATACCACTTTACAATGCCTTGGTAAGGCCACACTTAGAATACTGCATCCAGTTTTGGTCACCATGATGTAAAAAAGATGTTGAGACTCTAGAAAGAGTACAGAGAAGAGCAACAAAGATGATTAGGGGACTGGAGACTAAAACATAAGGAACGGTTGCTGGAATTGGGTATGTCTAGTTTAACGAAGAGAAGGAGGAGGGGGTACATGATAGCAGTGTTCCAATATCTCAAGGGCTGCCACGAAGAAAAGGGAGTCAAGGCGCCTGAAGGCAGGATGAGAAGCAACAGATGGAAACTGATCAAGGAGAGAACCAGCCTAGAACTAAGAAGAAACTTCCTGATAGTCAGAACAATTAACCAGTGGAACAATTTGCCTCCAGAAGTTGTGAATATTATAACACTGGATGTTTTTAAGAAAAGATTGGACAACGATTTGTCTGAAATGGTATAGGGTTGAGATGTGTTTGAATATTAGTAGCTCGAGTTGGTAGTTGGGCTGTTGATTTGATCTTTGAGCTTGGCAATTTCGCTGCAAACATTTTCTTTCCATTTGGGGGGACATCTTCAAAGCGCACTAAAGATGTTCCCAAAATGGAGATGAAACATTTGCAGCCAAATTGCCAAGCTCGGAGATCAAACCAACAGCCCATGGTATAGGGTTTCCTGCCTGAGTAGAGAGTTGGACTAGAAGACCTCCAAGGTCCCTTACAGCTCTGCTATTCTATTCTATTCTATTCTATTCTGTTCTGTTCTGTTCTGTTCTGTTCTGTTCTGTTCTGTTCTGTTCCGTTCCGTTCCACCCCACTCCACTCCACTCCACTCCACTCCACTCCACTCCATTCCATTCCATTCCATTCCATTCCATTCTATTCTATTCTATTCTATTCTATTCTATTCTATTCTATTCTATTCTATTCTATTCTAGTATCATAGCTGGTTATATTTATGCATAGCTGTATGTGTGCATTCCTTTTAATAGAAAAGAGCAATAATAGGAATAGACACAGTGAAAATATTCCCTAAGAAGGAAAATATAAATCAAAGTCATAAATCAAAATACCTTTATCTAAGCAAATCACCTTTATATAAACAAAGTACCTTTACGTAATCAAAGAATCTTTTTTTAAAAAAAATGGGTATAACCATGTCAAAGTTAAAAACTATACCCATAGTGTTGGTTTTTAATTACTATATTTGGGGTATTTTTTACCCAAAATCTATTATAATACAGGCTCTTGATATAATATTCTAATTATTTTAAACCATTGTAATTATTTTCCAAAAGCTTTCCTACTTACCTGTTTATATATCATCTGATTTTTGTTCCCATAATCAAAATAGCGGAACATTTCTGTATCCAATATCTATCAAAAGCATCAGAGAAAGCATTAGATACTATATACAATATATCCCCATATCTATGATTATGATTATAGTAAATCCAAAGAACAAGAACTAAACAGTAAAAAGGAAAAAATACAGAAATACAATGATATATATTTTAATATTGGGACTGGGATCTAAAGAACTGTTATTTCTCATTTGTGATCTAAGAAACTTCAGAGGAAAAGGGAAATGTGCTTTAGGTAAAACAATAAAAATATTTATTGAAATCAAGAGAAGGTGTTTACCACTTGTAAGGGAAAAAAAAGATTGACCTTGATAAATAGAACTACAGCTTGCAGCCTTGGTCTTGATAAATAGATCTATATTTTAAATACTTTTAGCTGAAGACCACTTATAGGACAAACATAAAATTTAAGTGAATAATGCAGACATAACATTCCTTAATATGATAACCTTTCAAACTCTGGTGCTCTTCTACGGCATTGGACCATAAATCTCATAAAACTTTGAATAATATTTGTAGATTAGTACATCCAGAAAAATGCAAAGTTGGGACAGGCAGCCCTAGACAATCCTGAAAATTATCAACATCAGAGCCAATGTTATATTTCAGGGGACCTTGATGGTTAAAATGGCATACAATTTAACCAAATTTATTAAAGACATTATACCTGTTTCCAGTGTAAGACGGTTTTAACTGATGTTCTATCTGGATAGTGAGCTGCATATACATCAATTCGGCTCTGTAGAGATTTGACAAGTCAAGTGGATTATTGTTTTTTAAAGAAATCAGACAACTGATGAAAGGAAATATTTACTAGCATTGCTCATTTTTCAAAGAAGATATAACATCCTACCTTTAGCAGAGTAATAGTTTTGTCATCACCTTAGATAATCCTTAGGTTATGATGGCAATTTGTACTGAGAACTCTGTCAGTAAGTGTGATATTGTGTGACTGTACCATAAAAACACAGCTCACTTTACACTTGCATAAATCTCATTATCTCACACCCAACAATGAAACTCCTCCAGATTGCCCACAGGTTCTGGTGTTTAAAATAAGAAAGTGTATCAACCTCCATAAGCTAGGTAAGGTTTCGGGTTATGATCCACCTTACTTGGAATGCTAAAATCTTGGCTGAAATAGTTTCAGCTTTGAAATTAATCACATTTGTTTGTGGCTTTTCAGGGGTCAGAAATGTTTGAATGTTGTTGGACATGAATAAATCAAGAATACAGCATTCTAGAATTTTGGCTGCTGTATTCATTTGCCAAAAAGATTTCATTTACAACTCTGCTAAAAGACACATTAGACACATCATGAACTTTGCTGATTGCTTCATAAAATGACCATTTCCTGGCTGAATGCATGAGTAGGGAAATATTTATAAAATGCACAGTACAATCCAATATTATGTTTCCAGTCCAATGTACATTATCTTAATTTGGCTTATCATTCACAAAGGACTTCATTATTAAGTATTCTTATTTTATCTTTATGATTTATGGGGTTAGATCACTATCATGAATGTGTAACTGGGGGTGGGTGGAGGAGGAAGGATTTAAATTGTTAGCATATTCTTGATCTATATTGTCTTCATTGTTCCTTCTCCAGTGAAGTCAGAAAAAAGCAGAACAACTGCTTCACTATTATTTTTCATAGATTTGAGCTCCTAGTACAATGCTATATCCTGGCTGTTATAAACTGTAGTGGTTTTTAACTAAAACACCTCACTTCTCAGCCATTTCAGCTAGCAGTTCAAAAGCTGGGCTAGTTAACTAAAATAGCACCATACCCTAGAAATGTCAAAAACTGGGAAAGTTAGTCCTATTGGAAATTAAGTAGCCTTTAAGGAATGAAGGACTGAGCCAGATTGAAACATTTCAGAATGGGCTATTCTGAGCTTCCCATCTTTCATTGTACCCAAATTGTACACTGTAACGGAAATACTGAAATGCTAAAGTTACTTTGGGGAATATATTCTATAGGCCAGCTTTACTGATAGAATGAAATCTATGAGCCATCTGATTAATGCGAATACACATCCATGGATGGATGGCCCCCCTTTGTGGGGCCTACACAAATTATTTCTGTTGCCTTTTCCCTAAAATATTCTCATTTTTTTTTAAAAAGGCGTAGCATTTGAAAAGGGGGTGAGTGGGGGAAGCAAAGGATTCTATTCTTTGAAATCTTACTTTTTGCCTTGATGATGAAACCTTTGTAAAATTTAGAGAAACACAACCCAATACCATATTCAGAGAAATATATTTCATAGGAAGACTTACTTACCATGTTTAGATTTGTTGCATTATAAGTACCAGGTAAGAAAATGAGATGTGAACATAATTGATGCATAAATTCAATTGTGCATAAGTTCTTCATGAAATATTTCATAGGCTTATGAGTAAACATAAAATCTTTGTTGCCTAATATTTGCTGTAAAAATAAGAAGTAAATTAACCATAGATGATGATGATATGTAAGGCATGCTAAGCTCCTCTGGTTCCTACTGAGTTTTTAGCCAGCAATATTTAACTTATGCAAAAATTTCACTGACTATATATTACAACAGGTAATTGCAAACAAGAGCTAGGTCAGTGCAGCAGTTAAAGGTCCTGGACTGGGAGTAACAGACTTGAATTCTAGCCCTTTATGGAGCATGAAATCAGCTTTTTCTCAGTTTTTTTCTTCACCCTGGAAGAAAGATTTCCAACCCTCCCTTCCTCTCTTCCTCCCTCCCTCCCTCCCTCCCTCCCTCGCTCCCTTCCTTCCTTCCTTCCTTCCTTCCTTCCTTCCTTCCTTCCTTCCTTCCTTCCTTCCTTCCTTCCTTCCTTCCTTCCTCTATACTCCTGTAGAACTTGGGGATGTTTCAGATTTTGCCCATGATGCTCCATATCTCCCCAAAGTTCCAGGTTTCATCCACTTGAACAGGATTGGAATTGCCCAAATCACAGAATAACAGAGTTGGAAGGGACCTTGGAGGTCTTCTAGTCCAACCCCCTGCACAAGCAGGAGACCCTATATCAGGGATGTCAAACTGCTGGTCCACGGGCTGGATGTGTTATGCGGAGGCCGCGCCCACCCAGCTCCGGCAATGTGAAAAAAGTTGTGATATGTCGTGACATGTCAAGTGATGCAGCAAGTTTGACACCCATGCCCTATACCATTCCAGACAAGTGGTTGTCCAGTCTTTTCTTAAAAGCCTCCAGTGATGGAGCACCCACAACGTCTGAAAGCAAGCCATTTCCCTAGTTAATTGTTCTTACTTTAGAAAATGTCTTATTAGTTTTAAGCTGCTTTTCTCTTTGATTTGTTTCCATCCATTCTTTCTTGTCTTGCTTTCTGGTGCTTTGGAGAATAGCTTGACTCTTTCTTCTTTGTGGCAACCACTCAAATATTGGAACACTGCCATCAATTCAGCCTTCCTTCCTTTCACTAGACTAGACAAACCCAATTCCTGCAACTGTTCTTCATATGTTGTATACTCCAGCTCCCTAATCATTTTGATACTCCTTTTCTGCACTTCTTCAACATCTTTTTTATAATGTGGTGATCAAAACTGGGTGCAGTGTTCCAAGCGTGGTCTTACTAAAGCTTTATAAAATGGTACTAATATTTCATATGATCCCATGCTTCTGTTAATGCAACCCCATTTTAATAATCCCATTTTTTTAAAAAATCTGATACCCTAGAAGATATCATGTTTATTGAAGAAAGTTAGAAAGCCATAACCAGAAAAAATTGAGCAACTGCACTTTTTCAGATATCAGTATGATTTATATAGAGACAACATTCCAACTTTGTTGCTTTTCCTTTTCCTCCCTATCTTACATAAAGGACTATACAACTCCAGTTTTTGAGGTGGGCTGGTTTACACCTGGCCTTTTTGCATTGCTCAGAATTACTCTTATCTTGAATAAGCCTATATTTAACATGTAAATAAAACTCCATAGACAGGAGGATCAGACCAAATAAATAAACATCTTGTCTACTTCCCTATAATTCTTAGTAAACATAAGGCACCCTTCCTATTTCAAATGTATCTTTACTCAGTACAGACTAAATTTACAATACGCTACAACACAGAACAATCAAAATGTGTCAGTTGACTAATGATTTGTTGTGCTGTTAGTTGAATGAATGCATATACAAAGTTCATAAAATATGAGCCTATATCTAGCGTGGCTAGATACCATATTTATCTTTGTGTTTTGTGCAAAATAATATAATAAAAATGATAGGTGCCTACTCTAATTCTTATTGATGTGTGGCAGTTGGAACCATGGGAATGTCTTAATATTTTTTGTCATCTTTCCTTTTTCAGTTCCATCAGTCATAAAAGAATGATTAATGAATTAATACCTTGAATAGATGTTGAGGAAAAGAGGCCAACAATCTCAATAGAAGATCTGGGACATGTGTAACGTAGATCACAGGAGCTAAGGCAAGGAACATTTTGATTTTATGAGATAGTTCTGGCATGGCTGAAAATGCTATGAAACCTAAAAGGAAAAAACAAGAAAAAAAAGTGGCCATTTAGAGCTAAGTAGAATCTATTAGTAACCCATTGGCCTAATTTCATGTTGTATTCAGATTCATTCTGAAAGGTCTCTAGAAGTTGTAGGTTTCAGTCCTCTTATTTAAAAAGGTCTAATTCCAAGAAAGTATGAAGAAAAATAAAGGGAAGAGAGTACTGGAAGAAAGAAAATGGAGGAGGGAGGGAAGAAAGCCAGTATTGTCATATCTCAATATGTTATTGAGATATAGTCTCTTAGAATATATTATTCCAATGGAAATACAGCTCTAGTCAAAAATCAAGGGCTGTGCTTTCTTTTGCTACAATTTGTTGAGGGACTTACTGCATGATAATGGTTACTGGGATTGAAGCACATGGTGGCCCTGGAAATATCTTTCAGTTAACCCCCTTTCCCTGTGTTTCCATTTTAATTCATCTTTCTTGACAACCTAACTTAACAGGCTGTTGGGAAAACAACAGATTACCCTAATCAACCATCTGAATAAATCCCTTATAATTAGGTTTGGAAGGTCTCTGTGGAATTGTGAAGTAGTCTACACATTCCTTCAACTCCAGACTGCCATCATTGTCCTAAGTAACTTTAAGAGAGAGAGAAACTGGATTTATTTTGTTTTCAGGCTATTTTTAAACATTACCATATAAGATTGTAGATGTAGCTTCTTGTGATAATATGTAAGAACTTTTACATTATCACCAAGAGATAGACAGAGACAGAAAAGGAGAAAGAGAAAGAGGGGAATAAAATAGAGAAAGAGAAAAGGGTTTTCATTTCATCATACCAATAGTAGCACCTTGAGAATGGCCAACATAATACAATTGTTTCTTTTTAGTTTTCTTCAAAATAAAGTTTATTGTTGCTGGAAGATCATACATGGCCATTTCATGGAAACTGAAATGAAATAGTAAAAATTGAAATTGTTAATAAATAAGTAAACAAATTTCACTTACCGTGTTTCCAAACATTTCAATAAAAGCTGCCTTCCACCCCTAACTCTCAAAGCCAGTCCAGAAGGATACCATAAGCCACTGAGAGAATAAGGAGCATTATCCTTACCCAAATTAGCCTCAGGTTATCAACAAGCATGACAAATGCCATCTCCATACTTAACCTCACCCTAAAATCCAATTAAAATGACCCAAACAATCTGCTTTCTTCAGGGTTCTCAGTTTCCATCACTTTCCTTAAAATTAGAATACTGGCAACCACTGGATTCAGCGATCATGGATCCATCATCACTTCTTTAAGGGCTAATTGAATCACACCTTCAATGAAAGAGGTTAACACCCTCATATGGACCCAACCATAAGTTTATTTATTTATTTAATTTTATTTATATGTCGCCCAATCCCAAAGGACTCAGGGCAGCGTACAAAATTAAAACAATCATCTAACAATAAAATAATACAATCATACCGCAAGTCCGATCATATCCCGCCCCCCCCCCCCGGGGACATCAGCCCCAGGCCTGCCGGAACAGAAGAGTTTTAACGGCTTTCTTAAAGGCCGGCAGGGTGGGAGTTGTTCGAACCTCGGGGGGAAGTTGATTCCACCAGGTTGGAGCCACCACAGAAAAGGCCCTTCCCCAAGGGCCCACCAGCCGACATTGTCTGGCCGACGGGACCTGAAGGAGGCCCAATCTATGGGACCTCACCGGTCTCTGGGAACTGTGCGGCAGTATGCGGTCCTGTAAGTAACCTGGCCCTATGCCATGAAGGGCTTTAAAGGTGATAATCAACACCTTGAATTGGGTCTGGAGACCCACAGGAAGCCAGTGCAGCTCGCGGAGGATAGGTGACACGTGGGCGTACCTTGGCGCGCCCACAATCGCTCTCGCGGCTGCATTCTGAACCAACTGCAGCCTCCGAACGCTCCTCAAGGGTAGCCCCATGTAGAGCGCATTACAGTAATCCAGTCTTGAGGTGACAGGGCATGAGTGACTGTGAGTAAAGCCTCTTGGTCCAGATAAGGCCGCAACTGGTGCACCAGGTGAACCTGGGCAAAGGTCACCCTGGCCACAGCCGATAGATGTTGTTCCAAATTTAGCTGTGAGTCCAGGAGGACACCCAAGTTGCGTGCCTGCACTGAGGGAGGTAAATTTGCCTCCCCCAGGACTAATGATGGACCATCTAGTTGACCTTTGGGAGGCAAGACCCAGAGCCACTCGGTCTTGTCAGGGTTGAGTCTAAGCCTGTTCACCCCTATCCAGACCCTCACATCTTCCAGGCACTGCTTCACTGAAAGGACACGGGGTGGAGATATATAATTGGGTATCATCCGTGTACTGATGATACCTCACCCCGTGTCGCCGAATGATCTCACCCAGCGGTTTCATGTAGATGTTAAAAAGGAGGGGGGACAGGACCGAGCCCTGAGGCACCCCATGATCGAGGCACCTAGGGGTCGATCTCTGTCCGCCCCAACACCGACTCGACCTGTCAGAGAGGTAGGAGGAGAACCACCGCAATACGGTGCCGCCCACCCCCACCTCTCCGAGACGACGCAGAAGGATACCATGGTCGATGGTATCGAAAGCCGCTGAGAGGTCAAGAAGCACCAAGATAGAGGAATGACCCCTATCCCGGGCTCACCAGAGGTCATCGGTCAGTGCGACCAAAGCAGTCTCAGTGTTGTAGCCGGGCCTGAAACCAGATTGAAAAGGGTCCAGATAATTAGTTTCATCCAAGGATCGCAAGAGTTGGGACACCACCAACTTCTCTACAACCTTCTCCACAAAGGGGAGGTTGGAGACAGGACGAAAGTTCTTCAAAACAGCTGGGTCCAGGGAAGGCTTCTTGAGGAGGGGCCTCACCACCGCTTCATTTAAAGGTTGCGGGAAAGACCCCTCCATCAAGGAGGCATTGATTATTGCCTGGAGCCAGCCTCGTGTCACCTCCCTACTGGCAGAAACCAGCCAGGAGGGGCACGGGTCCAATAAACAGGTGGCGGCATTCATTGCCCTCACGGCCTTGTCCAAGTTAATTCTCATGCAGCTTTCACCATCCAGGAAGGAGCTGGATCTAACAAGCATGTGGTCAGGCTAGTAGACTCCCTTTTAGTGAGTCACAGGATCAAACTTTCTTCAGGCAACCATACAAGATTTTGCCTAGAATTGATCAATCAGAGTCCAACCCAGAGTTATCTTATCTGTCATATAGTAAGACTATTCCTCGCAGTGGATCTGGAGATGATCCTTCAGTCCTAGCAAAGACCAGGTCACCAGGTCATTGGGCAGCTACCAGCAGATGCAAAAAAAAAGCAAGAAAAAAAGAGCTTTCACTGGCCTTATTGCCATGATGCAATCTCTAATATGGATTATTACTTGTGCTCAGTTGGATTGCAATAGCTCAGCAGACCCTCGAGAAAAATTGTAAGCTCCCTTGGAAAGCCCTTTGGGTCCATCAGTCACCTGGAATTGGTTAATCTTTGTGTTGGGGAGCCAGTGTGATCTAGTGGTTAAGGTACCAGGCTAGAAACCAGGAGACTATGAATTTTATTTCTGCCTTAGGCAATAGGCATGAAATCTGGCAGGGTGACTTTGGTCCAGTGACTGTCTCTTAGCCCAGAGTTCCCAACCCCCAGGCTGCAGCCCACTACTGTGTCTTGAACCTTTCAGAACCAGACTGCAAAAGTGGTTGGGCAAGAGCACGCATGTGCTCCATTTGCAGTATTGGTAGGAGTGCATGTCTGTTGCTCGCCTAAATAGAGCTGCACATGCACACATGCTTGCGCACCGCATGCATAGATATATTATTTAAAAATCAAGCTCCTTAGCATTAACCCTGAAAACCATACATTAGCAACATGTAACTAATATAGCTCAGTATGGGAATAGAGTTTCAAACTGTGACTCATACTACCTGAAATTCCAAAAATCCTCTTGATCCACTGAGAAACTCCGGTGCCTTTGAGACCAGCTTGTTCCTCTGCTGTTTCCCAGCCAAACATCACAGTTTTCATCCGCAAGTATAAAACCAAGACTGTTGTTGGCCATGTTCTCCACCCAGTGACTGGCTTCTCCAAAAATGCCATGTTGCAAAAAGACAACAGGCTTTCCATCTGTAGGATTTGTGGATTATATTTTTAAAAAATAAAATGTTACAGAGTTGAAGTTTCAAGCCATGGCAACAAAACATTTTAAACAAATCTTACATTTTTCTCAAACATTCATAATACAGGTAATCCTCAAGTTATGAGAGTTCACTGACGACTGTTCAAAGTTAGGACATACCCCCCCCCCCCGAGTACTTATGACACAGTCCCGAAGTTATGAATGTTGCAGCACCACGGCAGTGGTTCACCCTTATGAACAACCACACAAGTGCTGCAACATTTGCCCTGCCTATTTCTCCCCCCCCCACACACACACACACACTGGGTCTGCACAGGCACTGGGCTGTGGATACTCACCTTGCAAAAACCTAGCAAGCCTTCAGTTTCTTGGCCTGTTTTGGTGCTTCAGGCCTTTGGTGCATTGGCAGAGAATGGAAGCCTAAAGTAACACAAGATCACGTGAGATCAGTAGCATGAGATCCCATGGTACTTTAGACCTTTATTTTCTGCAAACAGAGGCTATAAAAGGAGGAGCGGGAGTTGCACTATATGTAAGAGAACACTACATATTTGTAGAAATGCACATGATTCAAGACAAAATCTCTCCAGAAAGTATATGGGTAAATATAAAAGAAAACAAAAGTGACATTGCCATAGATGTTTATTACAGAACACCCAACCAACCAGATGAAATAGATGAACTCTTTACCAATCAACCAACAAATGCATGCAGGAAGCACACCACTGTAGTAATCGGAGACTTCAACTACTCAGATATCAACTGAGAGACAAACTCTGCAGTGAGCGGGAGATCAAACAGATTCCTAACCAACTTAACTGACAATTTTGTCACTCAAAAGGTGGAGGAGGGAACTAGACATAAAACTACACTGGACTTAATCCTTACAAACAGAGAAGAAGTGATAGAGGGAATCGAAATTACCAGAACCCTGGGCGAAAGTGACCACATCATAGTAGAATTTAATATAATGCAAACACCAGCAATAGAAATCAATCCAACCAAGGTCCCAAACTTCAAAAGAGCCAACTTTAACAAACTAAGAGAGAACCTAGAAAAAATCCCATGGATGAAAATCCTAAAGGGGAAAACAACCCAGGAAGCATGGGAAACCCTGAAAAATGTGATCACAAAAGTCCAGACCAGCACAATACCACTGAGAAAGAAAAACAAGAAATCCAAGAAGCCAATTACCAGCAGACAGACAGAGCATGCAAAGACGAAGTCAGGAAAGCAAAGGCTCAGAATGAACAAAGGCTAGCAACAGAAATCAAGGACAATAAAAAAAAGCTTCTTTCAACATATTAACAACAAGAAAAAAATCAAGGAAACTGTAGGCCCACTAAAGGGAGAAGATAGCAAAGAAATTACAGGCAACAGGGAGAAAGCAGAGCTGCTTAACTCATACTTTGTGTCAGTCTTCACACAAAAAGATACTACAGCCCAACACACACATACAAAAAAACCACTGCAAAAGACATACCAGAAACAAAAATTAAAACAAGCAAGAAAATGGTAAGGGAGCATTTATTCAGCCTTGATGAATATAAATCACCGGGACCCAACAGGCTACATCCCAGAGTTCTGAAAGAGCTGGCAGAGGTTATCTCAGAACCATTGCATCACATCCTCCATAAATCCTGGAGCACCGGGGAAGTACCAGAGGATTGGAAAAGGGCTAATGTGGTCTTCATCTTCAAGAAAGAAAGAAAAAACAGACCTAGGAAACTACAGACCAATCAGTTTAACATTAATACTTGGGAAAATCCTAGAAAACATTACCAAAAAAACAGATCTGTGAACAACTAGAGTCATAACTAGTAACCAGCATGGGTTTGTCAAAAATAGATCATGCCAAACCAATCTCATCTCATTCTTCAATAAAGTGACTAAACTAGTAGACCAGTGCAACTCAGTGGACATAGTATACTTGGACTTCAGTAAGGCATTTGACAAGGTTGACCACAACCTACTCCTTGGTAAACTAAGAAAATGTGGGACAGACAACATCACTACCAGATGGATCTGTAACTGGGTAACAAACTTATTCAACGAGTAGTCCTCAATAGCACTATATCCACATGGAGAGAAGTGGATCTTAGGCCCAGTACTCTTCAATATCTTCATTAATGACTTAGATGAGAGAATAGAAGGGGAACTCATCAAATTCGCAGATGACATCAAATGAGCAGGATTAGCCAACACCCCAGAAGACAAACTCAGGATCCAAAAAGATCTTGACCAACTTGAACAATGGGCCCTATCCAGCAAAATGAGTTTCAATATGTAGAAAAGCAAAGTCTTATATTTAGGCAGGAAAAATCAAAGGCACAAATACAGATTGGGCGAGATCTGGCTCAAAAACAGTAACTGTGAGAGGGACCTTGGAGTCCTAGTGCAGGGCTTTTCAACCTTTTCACAGATTGTACCACTTTTAGGACATGACAATATTTGAGTACCACCAATGATTAGCATGGTGTCAAAAATGTGATGACTTTAAAAAAGGGGGGGATTTTGGGTTTTACTGATTAGATTCATTTATTGTTATAGAAATGGCTAGTTTATAATATTATGGAAAAGTAAAAAGTTGAAGTTCAATGTTAATGCTTCCTTCTACTGCAGCAGAGGAAGTCTGTTCTTTTTCCCTTCTCCCCCTCACTTTCCCCCCCTTTTCCTCCCCATTGTGCCCTACTATTTGCTTTTGCATTTTTGTATTTTATTCTATAATCTAATAAAATATTACAAACTGTAGAAAAAAGGAAAAAAGTACCAGTTTTAATTTCTTCAGTGGTTGTTCCTTTGCTGAATCACTTTCCCTTTGCACTGACAAATGTATGATGAATTTATCCATGTTTATTAATATGCACCACTACCAGTTAGTTCAAGGGTCTTCAAACTTGGCACTTTGAAGACTTGTGGACTTCAATTCCCAGAATTCCTCAGTCCTCATGGCTGGTTGAGGAATTCTGGAAGTTGAAGTCCACAGGTCTTAAAATTGCTAAGTTTGTAGACTCCTGAGCTAGCTGGTTTGCCTGTCTGAGCTCTTCCACAGTGTGGTAAGAATGCACCCCCCCCCCAATCTCTTCCCTGTACTCTTAAAGACACAGGAATCAAGTGCAAAGCAAGAAAATAAAGAAACACAAATTCCGTTTTTTTTTTCTCTTTAAGCTGTCTCAGGCGTGTCACATGTCACAGTGTTGCAATTCTAGACTGAAAGGCTCCCACAATTGTGAAAAGCTTTAGCTTTACATTAAGCCAGTTTACCTTCAAAGAAAACTTTCTAAAAGTCACAGACAGACTCAATTAAAGGGGGTAAAACTAATTACATTTGTTTAAGGGATTAAACCTTTTATGTTGTCTTTTTCCCCTTCCCCCACCCAAACCACATTCTTTTATAGCCTCTCCTCTCTCCCCGCCCCCTTTTCTTCAGTTCACCTCCAGCTCCAGCTGCTTCCGGAAGCGTCAGTCAGTTGGAGCCAATCAGCTGGAGTCCTGCCAGCTCCTGGGGCTTCTGCCAAGCCCAGACAGTCCTGTAGCTGCATCTCCCTCAGGCTTGGCTCACTTCAGTCTTATTCCCCTCCCCTGCTATACTTGACTAGCAATCACATACCACCTGCCATGTGGCAAAGTACTACAAGTGGTATGCATACCATCGGTTGAAAAGTCCTGTCCTAGTGGACGATCACTTGACTATGAGCCAGCAGTGTGCAGCAGCAACCAAAACAGCTAACAAAATCCTGGGTTATATAAACAGAAGAATAGAATCAAGATCACAAGAAGTACTATTACCGCTTTATGAAGCCCGAGTAAGACCACACCTAGAATACTGTAGCCAATTTTGGTCACCATACCACCAAAAAGATGTTGAGAGTTTGGAAAAAATTCAAAGAAGAACAACTAAGATGATTAGGGCCTGAAGACTAAGACATACGAAGAATGGCTATGAGGTTTGGATCTGGCTAGTCTAAGGAAAAAAAGAAATAAGGGAGACATGATAGCAATGTTCCAGTATCTGAGGGGCTGCCACAAGGCAGAGGGGGGCAGGTTGTTCACCAAAGCACCAGATGGAAGGACGAGAAACAACGGTTGGAAATTGACCAAAGAGAGAAGCAGCCTGGAACTAAGGAGAAATTTCTGACAATGAGGACAATCAACCAGTTGGACAGATTACCCCCAGAAATCATGGGCGCTCCATCACTAGAGATTTTAAAGAAGAGACTGGATATCCACTTGTCTAAGACAATATAGGTTCCCCTGCTCAGGCAGGGGACTGGACTAGAAAACCTCTATGTGAAACCATAGTAGAGAGGCTGCAGAGGAGACAGCTCCCTTGATCATCAAAATCTATGTAAGGTAAATGACTCGGTGGAGCAGGATGGGGGGAAGGGGGAAACATGAGATATCTCAGTGGGGTGGGGGGGAAGGATTGGGTGGTCAGAAGCACTAGGCCTCCCCCTTGGCTTTCCCCATTCTGAGACACCTCGTTCACTTAATCACCCACACGTTTGATTAGCAAATGCCTGGGTGAAAGCAGGGAGTGATCACATTCAAGTTACATGATTCACTCCTACGAATCCTCAGGTTAGGAATATAATTGGCAGGCTCTATTACATTCGTAACTTGAGGATTATCTGTATTGTAATATTTATAATTAATAATTTTATTAAGCTTTGTTCATATATTATTGAATTCTAGACAACATTATCCAACCAAATTACCAAATTGCATGGATCTGACCATTCATTGCAAGAGAAGCTTATTTTCTAATATTACCCATGAGGTACGTATAATAATATGTTTTGGGACCCAGATGTTTCTGAAGTTGATTCCATTTTAATATGTTAAATCTTGGGAATGTACATGTATCCTTCTGCATTGGCATAGCTATTAAACATTTTATATCAGCTTCATAGATCCAAAATTGACTTTGACTTTAAAAAAAAAGAGATACCTATGTCTGCAATGTCTTTTCTTCCCCAGGGAATTCTGTTTATTGTCAGATAATAGCCATCCTCTGTCAAGACTTTATATTCTTCACTTGGGTAACCTTGATGAGAAATCATCTGACTCTGGGAGAAGAAAACAATTAATTCCTACAGTGCATAAGATTAAATATTTTTTTCTCTAAAGCTAAAACCAAGCATCAGTGGGTGGATCATGTACAACACAAGATCTCTCTCTCTCTCTCTCTCTCTCTCTCTCTCTCTCTCTCTCTCTCTCTCTCTCTTTCTCTCTCTCTCATGCACAAAAAGAGACACAGACAGACACAGACACACACGGTGATAAAGAGATGGAAAAGACCAGGTTCCATCAGGACCAGATCTGGATTTGTATTCACTGGGGAAGGACTACTGCTGTTTTCTGTTAAAATGAGCAATGCTGAAATAGTGATCCTTAACAACAAGTATGTAAATATGTGTGTTGATGTAGTATTAATGGTGATATAATTTTTCTTATACCAGTAACCTTGACTGCAGTTTTAACTAGGAATTCTGACCAGTGTGATATCAACATTACACAATGACCTAGCTCTTTGGAGAAGACTCGAGTACTTGGAAAGTTGGAAGGAAAGAGGAGGAGAAGATGATCAACAGTAGGGTAGATGGACTTAGTTACAATGGCAATAGGTGCACTGTTGGAAGACCTGAAGAACCAGTTTGTGACAAATCATTGTGGAGAAAATGTGGTTGCTAAATATCAACACTGATTTGATAGCACACAATCAATAAATTGGTATCAATATATTTTGAGGTTGGGAAAGAATTGTGTTGATTTAGCCATAAAGGAAAGAACAAGTGGTCAATATTGTTACTCAGGAGTATGTTTCAGACCCACTTCTACTTCATTATTTATAAAATATAGATCATATAACTTACAACATTCATATAAACTTCAGGATTCACACGTTTTTGTCCGATAAGTTCTTCATAGCCTGTCAATCCTCGTATTAGGTATGCTAATACAATAATCCTATACATTTTCTTTCTCTTTTTTTTAAAGAGGACAAGAGAAACAAAAGAAATGAATGTCAAAAAATCAATATAGTTGACAAAATACATACATTAATTTAAATCCTGACTGTAATTTTGAAGACACTGAGGACTATAGATGATCATGAACTTCTCTATTAGGACAACAATAAAAGCTATGAGCTGCCGCAATTCTTATCTTTCCATTTAACATCAGCATTCTGAAAACACCTCTCTCACAATATTTTCTTAGCTATCAAAACTACAGAACGTTTTGCTGAGAAATAACTAATGGATAGTTGATTTTCTCATAAAGCCTACCTACTCCAAGAAAATGAATCCCATCAGAAAACTCAACTGAAATGTGGAAGAAATAAATATATTACCACCCAAAATTGTACTGCTGCATTATGAAGGAGAAAAAAAATATTTGGAATAAATATTTGGAACCTCCTTAGAATAATAACTGCAAATAAATACCTTCTTAGTTGACACCAGCTTAGTTTGTTGCTAGAAGTATCTCATGTCATGTTTTACTACACTGTCATTTAAAACCACGGTAGCACAAACAAATACTGTGGGTGGTTTCTTCAGATGTGGGTGGTAAAGATGCCACACTTGTGAAGAGCTTCATTGGCAACACCCAGTTAATATAGGGCTCAAAAGGAAGAAGAGAAATGGATGGAATTGGTGCACAGATAAAATAGTATTGTGATGTTCCCATATTTTATCTTGTCATTCACAAAGACAAGCTCCATGCCAGGGAAAAGTGAATAATTGCTGGGGAAACTTTTTGTCCTGTTTTGATGTACAGTACATCTTGCTATACACTGAGAAATGCATGCTTTAAATCAACATGATTTAATTTTTGTAATTAATTCATGAAGGTGCTCTGACTGCATGGTGCACAACTTTGTACCTGCACAGATATAGTGGTTATAATCCAATCAAAATATATAAGAGCTTAAAGGTTTATGTTCTTTAACTTATGTCAGACTTCTTTGGATAGAACTGAGTTGTGTTTTCATAGAGGCCCAAATGAGAATTTATCATTTGTAATCTTGGCTAAAGCAAATTTTCTGGGGTGAGTTCCTGCCTCAATCTGTCTCGCTGATCAGTTTCTTTGGATAAGTAACATAACCTTCTCAAACTGTTCCATTGTGGCCTTTCAGTATTTGACTTCAGTCAAATCCTATTAAAGCTTAAATCAAAGAAAGCTATGTCAAAGATCAAACCAACTTACACCTGGAGAATAACAGGTGCTAAGTTTCCAATTGTTGTTATGGGGGCCTTTATGATAGACTTTTTACTATTTCTAATTAGTTTTCCTATCTTCTCCCCCTCTTACATAGAACAACATTTACCCTAGTGAGGTTTGATATCTTATCTTCAGGAATATTGGAATGGAGATTCAGCAACATCCTCTATTTGGAACGATTGTGTCTATTGTCAGGCAAGGCCATCAACAGAGCTTTGCACATCTTGTTGTGTGGCCCTTTTTATCACACTTCATACACTCAATTAATATTTACTCTTCTTACTAAAAGAAGATTGGCCCAAAATGGAAGTTGTGTTCTTTTCCTTAGCAGACTGAACAACTGAACTGGAAGTTGCTAAATTTTGGGTTTATATCTATTCCATATTCTCAATATGGCACTTTTAATATAGTAACTTTTAAAAGCAATATTAGCCTTAACTTTATTGTACTGTAGAAAGACATGCCATCCAAATTTCAGGTCTAAGATTCTTTTATTTCTCATCAGCAGGAACTACTCCTTCATCAAAACCAGACAGCAGGCTGATAAATATCTAATCCTCTTTGTTCCTTTATATTTTAAAGGTATTTAAATTTAATCCTTGCTTTTTTCCTTTGTCATACAAACATAGATATATCATTTTTTATTGATTAAATGGAACAAGAGTTGTAAAATAAATATTTGTTTTTGAAACATAAACATCATTTTAGGCAACATATTCATTTTTGTCATGGAAATTCTCCCCCCAAATGACGATTGTATTTTCTCCCTTCTTAGCGTAACATTCTTAAATTCATTCTATCTTATCATAATTGTTCTGAAATAATATACACTTTATATTAGTCATAGTAATAGTGAAGTTTTTCTCTTTTTTCTCGATTTTAAAACCATTTTTTTTTCATTGATTCTTTTTGCACTTCCAAGGAAAAAAAATCAATGATTTTGTATTTAAAGGCTGCTTATAAAAAGTAGAATTAAGAATATGGAAGCTAATGTGTGGCTTAAAAGTAATTTACTTTTTTATTGTACCTATGTATAATTAACCCTTTAAATTAATCCTTAATTTTAGTCCACATGTCATTATTGATTCCCACATATTGACATGTGGTATATTGTATGAGATATATGCTTAACATTAGGTCTCTAAATCATAGGTTTATTCTGCATTCATTCAGAGAACATCAGATAGACTATATTTACTCAGAAGACAAATATCCTCTTTGTTTTTATTTAGCTGGTGACATCAAATCTATCACAGGATCACAGGAATTCAACAACCAGCTGTTTAGCCACCTATATAAACAGCATGAACAGGAAAAATACACTCTGTTTTCTCACAGAAAATTTATAGCTTTCCACAGTACAGTAATTTTAAACTAGAAAGCACATGCCTACTAATGTGTTCATTGTAAACACACTAGTCAATACATTTTTCTTTCACTGTCAACTTATTTAGGAACTATTCAATAACTCTTTTGGAAGCAAGAAAGAGAGTTTTATGGATTTTACTATGATGTTGAGCTAATTTAGCTAATTTAGAATGGTTCTCCTAATGAGTTTCATCTCCCCACTTAATAGCTTTGCCCTATTTAAAATGCAGTATGGTAGAGATCATTTAGAATGGTTCTCCTAATGAGTTTCATCTCTCCACTTAATAGCTTTGCCCTATTTAAAATGCAGTATGGTAGAGATAATTTTCTTCTATTCTTACAACTCCTCCTTTCATCATTATTATTTATTTCTTTGCATTTTGGTCCACATAGTTGTTGGGGGTATTTATCAATTATTGTTTATACAATAGATTGTTGTTACTTTTGGCCAAGATTTTATGTGTGACCTCTTTCTTTTTTCATTTTTCTTCCTGTTTGCCCCTTAATGTACAAAATATGTATTTCACAAGATTGGGTATGCTTTGTGTGTATATCTAGACAGATAAATAAATAAACATATCCTTATCTTCATCTCCATTATATTGCTGGCAAACTAATATAGACATGTCTAAACTCAAGAACCTCAGCAAGTTGCATCCCATGGCTTACCTCAATTCCAGAAAAGTAAAAACCGTCAGGTCTGATTGTCGTTTGATGGAGATGATCAGAAGTTATAGAATTATAGGCTAGATTGATAGGATTGAAATCAGCTTGGAAGATGGAAATGGCAAACTGCTTCCATACTGCTACCAACAGGACTATATGTTTACCAGGATCTCAGCATGAGTCAATACTTTATATGGACACAGAATTCTGAACATATCTAACAATTTGTTATTAAAGCACAAGTTGATCTTGCAAAAATTATGGCTTTATCCACATGACCCACAGATAATAAAAAAGATAATTTATTTTTGAGAATAAAGAAAGAGAACTTTGTGAGGCAGGAACAGAACATTACTTGACATTAAGTTCTCTATTACTTGTTTTCCTCAAAGCCCAGAGCCCAATTCTTTGATTTTCTAAAGATAAAAAAGCATAGAATAAGTCCTTCATTTAATTTTGGAACAGGATTACCTTGCTGAAGGAAAGAGAATTTTTGAAACACTCCAGTGTTTCCTTGGTTATTTAATCAGACTGCAATTAAGAGGACGTGAAAAACAATTCCCTTCTTTTCTCTGAAAAGCAAGAACCTCAGAGGTACTTCGGATTCTTTCATGGACCTTTCATAAATCTCATAAAGAGTGTCCTAATTCCAATGTGTCTGGTGACTCTTTTGCTGTTATTTGCCATGTCTTTCTTCAAAAAAAATATTGTTTAGCCTCTTCATGAAGAGGAATAATACTTTGTCTGCATCAGAAGTAATAACACATGAATTCTAATGTCCTTCACGTGATAGCACACAAATGCTGATATGCAGACAGGACTGAGATATTTATCACATGCTACTGTAATTGCAAAACATGATACAGGTCATGTTATTAAGTGCTTAAGTTATGGACTATATTTACACAGAATGGTTTCTACCTTACAAAGATTCAGATGGAAGACATACTTCAAAAGCAAAAGCTACTTTATTAAAGTCAAGTGGCTATTCTCTACCATCCTTCAGCCAACTCACAATAAAACTGGAGACTGTAGTGCAGTGGTTCAAATAATCTGTATAACTTTTCCTTGTCTAGCGACAATCCTCCTGTTGAAAAAAGTGAACTAGTCCCATCAATAGGCAACAGAGTGAGAAATGGAAAGAATTGTTGGATGACAGAGATTAGCCTACTATATTCACTTAGGACTGTGTCACCCGGAGTAATGAAATAAAATTCAAAAATCAATTCTTCTTAGCTTCTTTATGAGAAGGACACCATCAAGTAGGGAGGCGGAACCGATTAGGTGGTTCCGCCCCAGGCAGTTAATGGACCCGGAGGGGTTCGGAATAGCGCTTGGGGGTTTTCCTGATTCCCTCCTCCACGAACCGGCTGAGTCCTTGGTTGCTGCTTGTAATAAGGCAGCATCAGGGGCATTAGGCCGGATCGCGCCTTTGCGACCTCTCCGTGATTGTGGATCCCGGAGGGCATCTTGGTTTACCGAGGAGCTACGGGAGATGAAGCATCAGAAGAGACGTCTAGAGCGACGCTGGAGGGCTAGTAACTCCGAACCCAACTGGACACTTTTAAGAACCTATATTAGGATTTATTTAGTGGTGATATGAGCGACAAAATGTTTGCATTTTGCTGCACTTATTGCGTCTGCAGAATCTCGCCCCGCCGCCCTGTTTAGGGTGACCCGTTCCCTACTTAACATTCGGTAAGCCGGGGAGCCCTTACAGGGTAGGGTGGAAGAATTTCTGCAGTTTCTATCAGACAAAATCGCTCGGATTCGGACAGACCTAGACTCCGATTGGGCAGGGCCTTCTGAGATGACCGGGGCAGGTCTTAGCTCGGTTTTATAGGATGAATTTGAGTCTGTGGACTGCTGAGGATGTTGACAGAGCGGTGGGAGCGATGACCGCCTCCACTTGTTTATTGGACCCATGTCCTTCCTGGTTGGTCTCGGACACCAAGGAGGTGACACGAGGCTGGCTCCAGGTGTTGATCAACACTTCGTTGAGGGAGGGGTCTTTCCCTCAACCCTTGAAGGAAGCGGTTGTGAGGCCTCTTCTCAAGAAGCCCACCCTGGACCCGGCTGATTTAAACAACTTCCACCCAGTCTCCAATCTCCCCTTTTTTGGGGAAGGTTGTAGAGAGAGTGGTGGCACTCCAGCTCCGACGGTCTCTGGATGAAGCGGATTACCTAGACCCTTTTCAATCTGGCCTCAGGCCCGGTTTCTGTACAGAAACTGCTTTGGTCGCGCTGATGGGTGATCTCTGGCGGGCCCGAGACAGGGGTTATTCCTCTGTCTTGGTGCTACTTGACCTCTCAGCGGCTTTTAATACCATCAATCATGGTAACCTTTTGCGACGACTTGGAGGGGTGGGAATGAGAGGCACCGTTTTATGGTGGTTTTCCTACCTCTCTGGCTGGTCGCAATCGGTACTGGTGGGGGGGCAGAGGTCAACCCTGAGGCCCCTTGAATGGGGGGTGCCGCAGAGGTCGGTCCTCTCCCCCCTCCTATTTAACATTTACATGAAGCCGCTGGGTGAGATCATCAGACAGCACGGGGTGAGGTTTCATCAGTATGCTACCCAGCTATATATCTCTTCCCCGAGCTCTCTCAGTGAAGCGGCTGATGTGATGGGCCGTTGCCTTGAAGCCGTGAGGGTCTGGATGGGGGTTAACAGACTCAGGCTCAATCCTGACAAGACCTAGTGGCTTTGGATGTTGCCTCCCAAGGATCATGTTAACTGTCCAGTGTTGACTCTAGCAGGGGAAAATATATCCCCTTCGGAGTGGGTTCGCAACTTGGGTGTCCTCCTTGATCCACAGCTGAAATTGGAACATCATTTGATGGCTGTGGCTGGGAGGACCTTTGCACAAGTTCATCTGCTGCACCAGTTGCGACCCTACCTGGACCGGGAGGCTCTCCTTACAGTCACTCATGCCCTTGTCACCTCACGTCTGGACTACTGCAACGCACTCTACATGGGGCTACCCTTGAAAAGTATTCTGAGACTACAGTTGGTCCAGAATGCAGCCGCGCGAGTGATAGTGGGTGCTCCTTGGTACACTCACATTACACCTATCCTCCGTGAGCTGCACTGGTTCCCTATTGGTCTCTGGGTCCAATTCAAGGTGTTGGTTATTACCTTTAAAGCTCTATATGGCTCAGGGCCAGGCTATTTGCGAGACCGCCTACTACCTCATAGTTCCCTTCGTCCAGTTAGATCCCACAGGCTGGGCCTCCTTCAGGTCCTGTCAGCCAAGCAGTGCCATATGGCGGGGCTGCAGGGGAGGGCTTTCTCTGTGATGAGGCCCACGTCTTGGAATCAGCTCCCCCCGGAGATTAGGACCGCTCCCACATGGTTGGTTTTCCGCAAGCTGCTTAAGACCTGGCTTTTCCGGCAGGCCTGGGGTTTATAAAATCTGACCCCTGGATGAATGTTATTGTATTGTTTGTTTGTTAAGTTATGTTGTGTTTTTATTCTAAACCGCCCAGAGTCCTGCGGGAGTGGGGCAGTCTATAAATTTTAATTAAAAAAGTAACAAAATGTCTTTGCACTGTGATTAAAAGCAGTACAGTTAACTATTGTAACCCTAAGTTTCCCATGTATTGTACAGATCCTTTATAAACTTTGGGTCATGTGTCTGATTAACGAAACACTTCAAAGAACTTTCAGGCATTTTTTTAGCCTAACAAGCCTTTATTAGTATTACAGAGATGTCAGCACGGCATGGTGGAAATGTTAAGATCTGAATTTCCATTCCTTTGCACATAACATTCCAGGCATTTCCCCTCCCCTATTTTGGGGTCATGATTCACATCTTCCAATTAACTTGGAGGGCAAAGATTCACTTCCATTTCTTTTTCCTGGGCTTTTCTTATATTCTCCTCCCCTTTCACTGTCAACTGATTTAACTCTAAAAATACCAAACAGTTCTGCATATATTGTCAAAGCAAGAATATTCAATATTAGCAGTGTTGACATCCGCCCCCCCTTACAAAAAGGACAGATCCTGTAATGTAGCCAAAGCATATGTTAATGACTAGTTCTCGGTTTGTTGGGGTATTTTGCATGAAACCTTTTGACGAGCCTGTCAGCTTTCACCTCACTGGATTTCACCCAGGTGGCTTCAGACAATGGGTATCCCTTCCGTTGTACTACGTACTGCAATTTCCCTTTAAAAACTCTAGAGTCAAGAATACATTTCACTTCATAGTGGGTCTCTCCTGCAACTATGATGGGCCCAGGTGCCTTCTTCGAGGGAGGTCTTAGAGTGGAGCCCTGATAAGGTTTCAACAAGCTACAATGAAAAACTGGGTGAATTTTCCCTAAAAGTCTAGGGAGTTTTAGTTCTACTGTGACCGAGTTGATGATCCTTACTATGGGGAAAGGCCCCAAGAATTTTGGTCCCAATTTCTTGCTGGGCAATCTGAGGCGTAGATATTTAGTTGACAAATAAACCTTTTCCCCAACTTGGAATGTTCTTTGGGGAGCTCTCTTTCTATCAGCCTGTTTTTTATAGGTTTCAAAAGTCTTTGTTAAAACAGTTTTCGTGTTTCTCCAAACTTCTTACCACCCTCTCACCCATTGGTCAAGTGTCTGGCACTCGGAGGGCACCTGAGGGTATTCAGGTATTGGGCTGAACTCTTTTCCTGTGGCCACTCTGAAAGACATGAAGCCAGTGCTGCTGTGCACACAATTATTGTATGCCACCTTCGCAAAAGGGAGGAGGTCAGTCCAGTTTTCTGCTGGTAAGAAACGTAGCATCTAAGATATTGCTCCACCATTTTGTTAGCAGATTCTGCAGTCCCATTCATGGAAGGATGAAAAGCAGATGATAAAGCTTGAGATGATCCAATTAATTTGAGGAAACTCCTCCAAAACTTCGCTGTGAACTGTACCCCCCTGTCCGAAATTATTCACTTAGGGGCACCATGCAGCCAGTAGATATGTTTCAGGAACAATTTGGTCAGTTATTGGGCAGATGAAAATGAGCAGGCAATGAAATGAGCCTGCTTTGAGAACAGGTCTATTACAGTCCAGATGACAGTGTTTCCACTACTTTCAGGTAGGTCTACTATGAAGTCCATAGCTATTTCTTCCCATGGTTGAGAAGGGTCTGCTATG